CGGCCACCACACTCCAGTCTGGGCGACAGAGTGAGACTCCAACTCAAAAAAAAAAAAAGATGAGGTAAATACTCACCTGGCAGGGCTGTCATGTGAACTGGAGATGCTTACCCAGGGCTTAGCATGTAGCAAGCACTATAAATGGCAGCGTTCACAGGCTGCTGGGACAGGAAGGACCCTCAGAGGTGGACTTGCTCAAGTTTCCAAGGGACTGAGCCTGAATTGCCAGTGCCCAGCAACTCGGCGACAGAGAAGGGATTAGAGCTGGACCCTGAGGCTTAGCCCCTTGTCCTTTCCCCCGAGCCCCAGGGCCTCGGTCAGCTGCTGGTAATCCCCTCTGCACTAAGTGTGCCAGCACTGACGTTTCCCCCTCAGCAGGGCAGGGACAGGGCGTGAGGCTGCCAGAACCCTGCTGGCATCATCCTGCCTGGTGTAATGAGAGAGGTAGAGTAGGGGATTAGAAATCTCTGAGAACAACATCACATGCTGCCTGGGGTGGCACCTGCTACAGCAGACTCCCTGCTAGGAGTCCTGGATTTTCCTGGTTCCTGCGCCTGCAGACAAGCCCCTAGGGGGACTGGCTTTGCGGAGGGAACCTTGGGTCTCCCTCCCGACAGGTCAGGTAAGTGGGGGGTCCCAGCTCTCAGCCCCAGGAATAGGAGCTAACCTGCTTGGAGCTTCTAGACGTGGGGAGAAATGAGGATGCCATGGGGCTTTCCAAGTGTCACTGTAACGTAGAGGGAGGGATGGCCTCCTCTAAGAAATGCGTATCTGCAAGGTGTCATGGGAGAGAGACAAGGGCACCCACAGGGGTATATCCAGTGTGCTGGACATGTGGGGCAGGCAGTGTCTTACACACCTCCCACACCCTCTGCAGCCCCTGATTCCCTCTAGCCCCGCCCCCCCACCAAATCCTGTGTATGTGGCCCTGTCTGAGGCCATCTGGGTAAATGTGGAAGCTCTCTAAGGGTCCATTTTGGTTGAGGAGCTTTTTCTCAGGACCAAGGGCTGAGGCTACCTAAAGAGCGCCCAGCCACACCATCTTGCACCCAAAGGACCAGACGTCTCCCTCTGGGCAGGTAAGATAAACCACAGGATGGTGGTGTGGGGGCCTGGGCACCTACCCACCACATGGTTACATTAGAAGTGGTCAGTGGATGGCCGGGCTCAGTGGCTCAGCCTATAATCCCAGCACCTTGGGAGGCCAAAATGAGCGGATTGCCTGAGCTCGCGGGTTCAAGACCAGCCCAGGCAACTTGGCAAGACCTTGTCTCTACAATAAAATAAAAAACAAGCCGGGCTTAGTGGCTCAGCCTGTAATCCCGCACCTTGGGAGGCTGAGGCGAGTGGATTGCCTGAGCCTGTGGGTTCGAGATCCACCTGGGCAACTTGGTGAGACCTCAT